GTCGAGGAAGGGAGCCCGGGCGAGGTGGGAGGGAGCGAGGCAGAGCTGAAATCCCTCCCCGCTGCAGCCAGGAGGGACGGGGGGACTGCAGCCCCCCGGAGCCGCAGGCTGTGCCCTCCCCACTGCTCCCCAGCTTCGGGACAGGGCTCAGCGCAGGATGCAGCAATCGGGGGGTGGGAGGGAATCACCGATGGAATAATGCAGCTCCCTGCTGCTGTTGTGGAGAAACAGTGCAGGAATGAGGTTATTGACACAGTCCTGCCTTCCACTGGTAGTGCTGATGGTGCTGGACCCCTGGGATGGAGCGATGGAGGGATGGTGAGGATGGATGATGGATGGATAGATGGGTAACGGATGGTGAAGGGATGGATGGATGGATGGATGGAGGGATGGAGGGACAGAGGGATGCATGGTGGATAGATGGTGGATGGATGGTGAATGGATGGATGGAGGGATGGATGGATGGATGGATGGATGGATGGTGGATGGATGGATGGATGGATGGATGGATGGATGGTGAATGGAGGGATGATGGATGGATGGTGAATGGATTAATGGATGGAGCATACCTCCATGGCAAGACCCAAAACCTAGCAAAGAACCAGGAGGTTGGTAGCTGTCACACATGACGCTCAGTGCCCGCACACTGCCTGGCGCTGCGGTGGCAGCACACATGGCTCAGGAGTGCCATGCCTGAAGATGGTGGCCACACTGCCATACATGGCTGGGTCTGGCCCTGGCACGGGCAGGGAGGCCTGTCAAGCCCAGGCTGACCTCTGCCAGGCTGTTTCTCCTTCACTGGTAGCACATGGTGCTGCTGCCTTGCCAGGGGCATTGGGCCAGCTGCAGGCAGTGAGTGGCTGTGATGGAGTGCCCTTGCACTCTCAGCCTCCTACTTCTGTTCCCTGGGGGAGACAGGGCCTTCCTCAGCTGGCAGCAGAGTCCCCTCTGTACCCAGGGGAAAGGTTTACTGGTAAATAAAAGCCAAGGAGCAGGTACGGAGGAGGGATGTGTGTCTGGGTTTATGTAGCCGAGTTTTGCTTGCTCACGTGTAACACGTAAACTTGTGTAAATCTTTACCAGGTACTGATGTGCCTCAAGAACACTTTGCCCTCACTATTTGCAGTGGCAGAGTGAAAACACACCACGGTCTGTACGTCCCAGCAAACCCTGCCGAGGTAGGTAAATATGTTCATTCTCATTTTACAGATGGATAAGCAGAAACAGAGAGATACCAAGTGACTTGCCCTAAAGGTTAAACACCAGGTCTGAAACATAACCCAAGGTTCCTGACTGAAGAACTCATGGGGCTGTTTCATTAAAGATATCCATGAAATTAAATCATTCTAAGCTGACTGGCAGGAATTAAAACATTCTAAACTTCTTCTGCAATGTGGTCTTCTAAATTCACAAAACTAATTTGTTTTCATACTCCTGCTATATTTTTAAGCCTCACCACAACAAACATTTTTGTCCCACTAACAGAAAATGTTTTTCCTTGCTGGGGTTAGGACCTCCTCCAGTCCATGGCAGATGGGTAACAGCATCACTCTGTGTGTGACTGTGCAAGGACAGAGTTTCAATGTCACTGAATGTTTTTCTGTCCCATATTTTTTCAACGTTTATTGAAGTTTCTCCTTTTTTTTTCATAGCCTTGTAGAACTCCTATCCTCCCCTATACCTAAAACAGGCTAAAGTTGCCCTCTGAGCTCCCTGATAACCACTGTGGTTAGGCTCCTTTGTGCCTTGCCACAGACAGCATGAAAATGTTCTTTGTTCTGCCTGGAGTGACCCTGCTGCACGGGATCAGGGTTGGAATTGGAGTTGCAGCCACAGACTGGGGTGACCACCATCACCCATAACCATGGTCACCTTTCAGAGGTAGCTGAAACCACCAGCATTCAGTGTGTGGGTGATGAGGAGCAGAGAACTTGTTTGTGTCTGTCCCTGTCTGCATTCCTCATGACAAATACTGAGTGGGAGTATTTTAGTTTGATTCTTCAAATGATAAAACTTCAGTTTTATGTCGTGCCCCATCCTTGTGGTTGGTGAAGCACATCTATAGCCTTGGAGTGTTTGTGTTTGTGCTGTGTTGGAAGTCTACTCAAATAATCAAATTTTGGAATTTGACCTCAGTGAGACCCACTTGATCACCCATTTTCTTGCAACTCTGCAGTGGCTGAATGCCTAGCAGGCAGAGCTGATGGATAATTTTAATTAAATATATATTTGATTATATGTGGATTTGGTTAAGTGTTGTTTGCATTTTGATTAGGGTCAAAATGCTCTACAGCAAAACACTGATTTCAATATGTTTTTTCAAGAAACAGTTTTCTGAAGCCACCCATGCTCACAAGGAAGAGGGCCAGGGGGAAGTAAAAATAGGTATTTTTGATCCAGGTACAACATTTTCCCACAAATTAACTTTGCAAAAACACTTAGAAAGGTCTTGCTTTCCATTCCAATGGGGAGTGCTGCACAGCTGTAAATCTCAGAAGCTGTCACAGGATGGGTTTGGAGCTCTGTAGCCGCTTGTCCCATCAGATCTTGCTTCCTTTGTGTCTCTGAGCATGCTTGGAGGAAGGCAGAGGAGGTTAGACTCCATGCTGACTTTCTTCTTCCTGTTTCTGTTTACCCTCCAGCGGATTCTGTTTCCCCCCCTGGATATGTACAGGCCAGTTTAAATGCCTTGTGTGTACAGATTTGTGCAAAGTCATATGGCAACTCTCATAGCCAGCTGTGGGTTTTAGGAGGAAGTTATTTTTCAACTTTTTGAATTCAGATTTTTACAGCCCTGAATGAAATCATTTTGGTTGATATGCAATTGTGAATTTCTGCCTAAGCTCTTCAGTTTGCCTGTTCCAGTTGCATTGAAACCTGCAGAAAATCCTTCCTTCCCTGGAAATCCACATTGTGAGCAGCTTGGTGTGTGAAACGGAGATGTTCGATTTCATTGTGATCGAGTCAGTCTAAATACAGTCTAAACACACTCATCTGCTTACACTCTAGCAACTTACAAAGAAGCCTCACACCTCACAGATGACTTTTTAAAGCGCTAAAATTCAGAA